CTAGCACAGATTTCAAAATCGAATTCGATCCTGTCTCCCTGAACGGTGCTTATTCAATCACCGTGTGTGGTGGTGTCCGGTTGGTCGTCATCGTCAGTAGCAGCAGCAGCAATGCTTTCGGCGTGTGGCGTTGAACATTGTATACAACGAAAGGCTGCCCGCAAGCAGTGCGCTGCTGCCCACATGAGCGTCCATTCACCGAAGAAGGAGGAAGAAGCCTCACCACTACTGATCGGGATTCATCTTCGTGAGTCGCTATGGGCCATCTATGCCAAGCGCGTCCCAGATAACTAGAAGTCGTATAACAATGTAGGGACAGTATCTTAAATTGTTACAATTTAAGTCAAAATCGCATATAAGAATGGTATACCTCACATTTTGTTTAAGTTAAGTCGTATAGCATGCAAATTTCCGACTTATATACGATGACTCATTTTTCCGTCGTACTGTATCACAAATTGAATCGGATTACATCGTAAGACATTTCAAAATGAATTTGTTATTACAGATTAAATCGTATATGATGTTAAATCAACTGGTTTAAAATTAAATTAAAATATGCTCGTATATGGCCTCCACTTTTGTACGTATATGCCATTTATTTGCATTCTATACGAATTGTTTATTTATATATATGTTTGTATATCACGAAAACAACTTTGAATATACGTGCATTCTGGTTGTCTGGGGTCACCCTCGTTCCAAATAACAGCTCGCCAGCCTCATCCGTGTTGAACACCCCAATAGCTGAGCATAACTCAACCATCATGACAAAACGGTCCTTTTCAGGACCACCATGAATTTGAGTATTTTTTTAACATTTGTCAAGGTTGATCCGATCCGAATCTGAATATGTTTAAATCTAGCATACCATATTTTTTTTAAGGCAACATTGACGGTGCAATTTCAGAATCTTAAGTCGGTCGAAAGTCGGTGAAAGTGGTCTGATTTTGATACAGAGATGATGGATTTAAATTCTGTATACGCAAATCGATAGGAAATTTTTCTAGGAATCTGTTAAAATTAAGGATTTGTTACTATTATAATTGAAATGGTCACCGATTGCCTGCGAAAATTGCTTTCCCTAACACAGATTCAAAAATTGAATTCCACCCGGTCTCACCAAACGCTGTTCATTCAATCATCGCGTGTGGTGAGTGGTGGTATTCTCCAGTACACAACGAAAGGCTCTCCGCAAGCAGCTAGCTATCAAGGCTGCCCTCAACCGCTAATAGGATTCAGTTGCTCATCGTGAACCGCTGTGGGCCATCTATGCCGAGTGCGAACACCCTAATAGCACAGTATTACTCAACCATCACGACAAAACGGTCCTTTTCACGACCACTATAACTTTTGGTTGTTTAAGAGTTAATTTTCCTTGAACGTTCGCTCGCCTTGCTGCCGGCTATATCACCCCCAAAGCTCTTTGATTATGTACCCAGTAGCCAATGGTCAAATGCGTCAAGTATTGAATAAAAAATTCTCGCAATGACCGAATACCACATGACCATGTCAAATAACCAGAAACACTTCGTTTCTCAAGGACGCTAGAAAAAGCAAAAAAATGTCGAATTTATATGATTGGAAAAATTTTAGTAAGAAATTTTTCCAATCGATTTTTATCTTTATTTATTATCTATTGAATAAACCAAAATTTCCGTGCGTTTTGTGCACCAAAAAGCGTAATTTTAACATCAGAGAACGAGGCGTCTCCGTGATGGGAAAAGTGGTTTCCCTTACACAGTCGCCGAATATTAATACCAAGCACTGAGCATCTCAGACCGTACCTATCTTTATGCCTTTTGAAGCAAATGTTTAGCTCCTCCTATCAAGAGAATTATGCCAAAAAAATCTTGCCGAATTCTCTTAATAGAAGGGGCTTAAATTGATGCAAAGCATGTTACCGCATATATACACATTTCATTTCCGCACCGCTATCATCTCCAAGAACATAGAGGACAAATTTCCACAGCATTGTTCTAAACTGGCCCCAAGCTTCCAACACATCGGTCCTTTTCAGGACCACAAATGACTGATAAAAGAGTTAACTTAAGAGTAAGAGCTTGTATCCAAGACATATCGTCCAGGAGTGGCTTGTACTATTTACATGGACATCGACAGAGCACCTCACGAACATAATTCTCAAATTGCTTACGAATTTCAACCTATCAAACTTTTTTACTGATAACGAGTTAAGAAATCAATTTAATAGGGGAAATGGCTCCAATGTTGGCCTATGGATCTAAGATTGGGCCCATCGCTAAAAATCTGCTATTTATCAATTTTATCTAGATAAACGCGCCATTGAGATGGTACTGATGGATATTTTTGGTCTTCTTCTTCTTATTCGCATTTCAAGCTTATTGCATATCGCATATTAGCTTATTGCGTGCTCTCAACTTAGTGTTCTAGATGCACTTCCACTGTTATTAATTGAGACCTTTCGATGTCTGTACCATTTTTGCATTGGTATAATTGTGTGGCAAGTCCTATCATACTTTTATGCCCAGGGAAGTCGAGACATTTTCCAACCCGGTGGTCAGGTAGGTCTTCCCATCGATACCTCTCTCCTTTTATCTTACGGATAAAAAAATCTCTTCTGCCTAACCAGTCCTTGCTCCAGTTCTCCCATGTAATTTTTAACAGCCAATTTATTAAGTCTGGACCTGAAATTCGCTTGTCAATTTGTTCATTAGTCTACCAGAAGAGGCGAGGTGGTCGGCTTCAACGTTGCAGTGGCCAGGTATCCAGGCAACGGTGGTGTTGGGTGCAGTGGACTGGATGATGGCCTGGATCCACGGATGTGTGGGGTATTCGGCGTCGAGGGCGGCTACAACGCTGGCTGAATCCGTGAAAAGCACGATGGTTTTATTAAACGGCCTGGTGATGGCAACGTAGGCTGCAGCTGCCTCAGCAGAGAAAATATTGCACTGGTCGGGAAGACTGTGACATATACTTATGTCGCGGCCAGACATCCCAATTCCGGTTCTACCTTGTACGACAGAACCATCGGAATAGCGGATCGTGTGGTTTTATATCGACGGTGTATAAGGTCCATGTGTGACTGGTTCACGGCGAGGGGGTTAGCACCTGCTTTAAATTTATTCTTAATTGTCGAATCGATAGAAATTTTGGAGCTGGTTTGCCTCCTCTAGGAGGCACACTCCGTCGCTCGAACAAGTAGTTTTTTCGAGAAACCCGACGGCTCGGCGGTAGATAGTGAGTGTGATGAGACGGTCAAAGGGAAGGAAACCTCCTTCGACGCATGCTGCTAAACCCGGGGTTGACGGGAGAAGGCCAGAGGTGATTCGGATTGCTCGTTGATATACAGGATTGAGTTTCTCGATTAGGGTTGTTCTGGACATACAGATTAGTTCAATCCCGTAGGTGAGTCGTGTGTCGATGACGGCTTTGGATATCCGGATCCGGAGGTATCGATTGCTGTCTGGGTGGCGTCTGGCGATCGAGCGAATGAGGTTTAACCTCAACCGACGTTTAGATCTCACTTCATCGAAATGGGGTACGAATGAGAGGCTGCGGTCAATACGAACTCCCAGAATCTTAACAGATTTGTGTTGCGGTACGGCCTGAGATCCGATGGTGATCGGTGACGTCAGAGATAGGTGGTTGTGATGGCAGATGTGCGCGAAAGCGCTCTTCTCCACCGACAGCTCGAAACCGGCATCGATGCTTCATCGGTGAATATATTTGACGGCTAGGTTTAACTTGATACGGAGGGCTTTAATTGTACTTTTGACGGCCATTCGTACAATGTCATCCGCGTAAACAAAGATGAAGATCTCCGCTGGCAGGTTGCTGAAAACTCCATTAATTTTAATCAGGAATAAGGTAACCGCAAGGACGGAGCCTTGGGGCACACCCGTCTCTTCGTGGAACGTGTTCGATCGGTAGTTGCCGATTATAACCTGGAAGGTCAGGTGGGTTAGGAAATTTTTAACAAAATGTAGGATGTGGCCTTTCAAGCCCCAATCTGCTAGTTGTTTGATGACATCTGACGTCCAAACCCGGTTGTACGCTTTCGAGATGTCCAGCGTTGCCCACTCCACATGCTGTTTATTTTCCGTATTATAACTTATACCCCTTTGAACTTAGTTTTTAATTATTAACTTTTTATATAATATCTTTTCAAGCTCATATTGTTATAGAAAAAAATAAAATAATATTCACATGTTGTTACATCTGTTGAAAGCAGTTTGTGGCTATGTGCATTCCTTGCAAAGCTATTACACTTTTTAACTTATTTTTTCCTAAAATATCTGGTAGACGGTCGTCCCAAAACTGCTCGACTATTTATTGGAGAAATATTAAAATACAATATCTACCGAAATCCTTCCAGAAGTACTCAGAGATTTAAGCTCTTTAGTTTCAGGAATTTACAAAGCTTTTGATATTCCGGAAGTTCATGGAAATCCTGGATCATAGGGGAGAAGATGACAAACCGGAACACAATATCAACCATACCATATCTCCAAAACTATTAGACATACACTTCCTCTACTACCATTCAAAATCAAACAAAATTACCCCGATCAATTCCAACCTAATCAATACTTAGCGGAAAAACTTAACGCCAACCAATCAATGATCAAAAACAACCACCTTCATAAACACCACTTGAAATTCACCCCATCTGGCAGCGCTGGCCGGGGCTGCTGAGGCTGCTACTGCTGTTGGGCTGAGAGAGCATAAGAAATGTTAAAGTTATGCGGCCCACTGCTGTGTATGTATGGTCTGTAGGTATGTTGGTATGCTCTCGTAGCGGAACAAGCCAGCCCACTAGATCGTCGTCGTCGTCGTTGGCATCGGTGGGTGAGATTTGGAGGGTGGTGAAACGGGCGGTTGGCGTACCAAACCATCAAGCAGACGGGAGAGCAAGAGCAAAACGCAGAGAAAAGAACGAATAACCGTATCATGTCGATTAAATACAACACACAGCTCGGTTCAGTCAGTTGAGAAATAATGTTAGATGGGAAACGGCGCAGTCCGTCCATCACTAGCTCAGTTCAGTTCAATCAGTGCTCCAAAGTGGAGCCGTGGCGAGGCGAGAGAGCTTTGACCTCTATATAATATAAAAGTTGAAATTGGTGACGTAACGTGTTTCTCATTTGCTCTCCCCGTCTGTCTGGGAGGGGGAGGGGGAGTTCGTGGCCATTCTCTCTGCAGTCAGTGGCACAGAGTCAAGTGCACCGGAGCACACAAGTGTTGTTGACTTCGAAGAAACAGGAAATCGCCGCGATTTGTCCCCAAGCATATATTTTACGACTCGCACTCGTTAAGACGGGAGTCGGAGATCTAGCCTTTAGCAGACTGTGAAAGACAGAAAGGGAGGACAACTCTCTTAGGTAACATTGCTTTCCGATTTGACCTTTTCCAATTACCGTTGTTTCTCACTATATAGTTCAAAACGCCTAGTGTACCGTTTTTCTAATGGAGCCACATAATTTCGATATCAAGCCAAATCTACAACAGATGAAACTGGAACCCGGAACGCAACAGTTTGGCAGTAGTCTTGATGACAAGGGCCCCAGCTTGCAGCACCTGTCCTCGCTGAACAGCATGAGCATCGAGTTGTGCCTGGTGTGCGGCGATCGGGCTTCCGGTCGACACTATGGCGCCATCAGCTGCGAAGGCTGCAAGGGGTTCTTCAAACGGTCCATCCGAAAACAACTCGGCTACCAATGTCGGGGGTCAATGAACTGCGAAGTGACGAAACATCATCGCAACAGGTGTCAATACTGTCGGCTGCAGAAGTGCTTGGCGTGCGGAATGCGAAGTGATTGTAATTTAATCCCGTAGCCTTTCGAACTGGAAAACCATTCAGTTAATGTCTTTCTCTTTCGATTTTAGCTGTCCAACATGAGCGCAAACCCATCATCGACAAGAAGGATGGATCGGCCGGACCCAACCCAAACAGCAAATACAATCCCCACCGGAACAAGGAATATCACAATGACCAGAAAGCGAATACAAACGTTACGCCCTCCTACCTGAACCTGTTCCAGGGATTCAACCTGGCGGAACTGGCGGTTGCCAATCTCAGCAAACGAGCCAGTAAATCACCTCCTGCTCCGTCCCACCTGTCATCGTCCAGTACCACCACATCTTCCAACCCATTCAGTTCGCTGCATTCCTTCAAGTCTCAGGAAGATCGTCAACCAACTCCAGCGGATTCGATTGCCGCCCTAATGCAGCTGGGGCCATCAGCTGCGGCAGCCGTAGCCATGTCCAGTCTTGGTCCACCACCACCACAGCAACCATCGTCCCTCGAGCCACCGGAAATGCCGAACAAACCTACACCACCGTCGACGCACTCACTCCCTATGGACACGACGGAAGGCGGCAACTCGATGGAAAAGAACCTCATCTGCAACTCGTTGGAGTTTATCCAAAATCTGGAACACGAATTGAACAACAGTGTAAACAACAACTATGGCATCAAGTCGGAGCTGAACAATGGCCGAGACGACGAACGGGACGAAGATTGCCTGAACTTTGACTACGGTAGTTTGGAACTGTCGGATAATTGCATTAGCTTCGATATCCAAGTGCCGAACGTGCTACCAAACTATCTGAGTGCACACTATGTGTGCGAAACGGGTTCCCGGCTGCTGTTTGCCACCGTACACTGGATGAAGAAGAACCACCTGTTCTCGATGTTGAGGTGAGTCGTTCTGCTGTTTTGATTATTTCCCGTATGGCAGGGGGTGTGGTTGAAATAGATGAGGATTTTCGAGGAAAGCGTGAGATGGTGGAAGATAACGAAAGTAATTACTGTTAATTTCCACTTAATGGCTGTTTTGGAAGTTTTTTAACAAAGGTCAAGAGACGTTTATAAAATGTAGAACAGTTTAGTACCATGTTTCCAAATCTATAGGCCGTGGACTGTTCTCAGATAGTTACGGAGCTAAAAATCTCATAATTAAAGTTAAAAAAAAATGTTCAGAACTTGGTCATGAATTTAAAATTTATCTGAATTTTAGATTAGCTTGGGATAATTAAAATTTAACTACCATAAAAACTTATTGGTTTATGTTTTGCTACCGGAAAGGTAATGAATTTCAAATTATAAACAAATTGACAACCAAAATAATTGAAACATTGAAATTTTCTGATAATAATAGGTATGGCTCTTAAGAATTGTTCAATCGTTTAATTTCAGGGCTATTTTGGTGTTTTCAGGAGATTTCAAGACCATTTTAACATTTAAACCTGGCAAGTCATATATTAGATATATCGGACATTTTTGATATTTTTAGGATAATTTTGTCATTTTAATATCATTATGAGAGTTATCGTTACAAGATTATTATTAGATCTATGCACCGGTCAGTTCATCGACGGCGGCGGCCTAGAAGTTGTTTTAGCGTGCATCGGCATATCATTCTGGTGACCATAAAAATATCGCATTTCCAACATGCTATCGATACACCATCGTATCTTTTCGAAACAGTATTGAAATTATTTCGAAGGTTGTTTTGGCAACCATGAAAAATAAATGATCTTACTGGCATCCGTGAAAAAAGTTCATGCCATTAAAGAGCCTGAATTTATAAAGAGACATCTTATCCATTTGACAGGTCTTCTGCTCGATTGGAATGACTTTTCCTATGACTTTGACAGACAATCGATTGTTCCAATTTTGACATGTCGCCTCTTTATAAATTTGGGCTCTTTACATGCCATCATAGAGCTCTTCGTTATGCAGTTTTGTTTTGTTTCGTACGTAAAAGTTCAAAATCGGAATGTGAACAACACCATGACAGTTCTAACTGACAGTTCGTTTGGCTACATTATACTTTTCCTCCGCTTATCTATGGAATCTATAGTATCTATAATTTAGATGAATGCCCGTTTCTAGTGCAGCAATTCCATAAACAAAAAGTTAGAGTGGATCCAAGAGTTTCGTAACAATTGGTAATTTTGTTCCTTACCGAAAAATATTTGATCCGTATTTTTATATGTTGACATTAGGGTGGTCCGAAAAATCAGCATTTTTCCTAATTTTTTTTTTTAACTTAAATTTTTGAACCACTGGATCGATTTTTTTTTTTTTTTTGATCAAAAGGTCAAATGAAAGAACTTCAACCCGTAAAAGCACGGGACAAACTTTTTATTTTCAAAAATTTTATCTCAGAGATGCCAAGGCCGATTAAATTGAGATTTTTTAAATCGTTCCAGTGAGTGGTTCTTACATGTTTTGGGTGGTAATCCCCCCCCCCCCAGGCCCCTCCCTCTTTGTTATATATTCAAGAAAGTGTTGGCACGGGGGTGTTTTTTTTTCAATCTTTATCATATATCTTACTTATCATAGCCGACGATGGTGGTGTAGTGGTAAGCGTGACTGCTTTCTAACACCCCGATGGGTCTGGGTTCAATCCCAGCCGAGGTCGGTGGGATTTTTCTGAGACATGAAAATCTCTGGTCACGTCTTCCTACGGAAGGGAAGTAAAGCCGTTGGTCCCGGCCCATGTGTATGTGTGTTGAATGGGTACGATATCCTACGCAGGTATGGAAGCTGCCTTCCTGCACATTCGATTGCCGTCAATGAATGGCAATCGATGTCCGTCGGTGATTGGAACTAGATTGCGGAACAGAGACCGACGTTAAATAAAGGAATGAAGATCTTACTTATCATTGCGACAACGTATTATTTTTTTTTTCGTGGAACTTCCGGAAATCATAGAGAACAATCATTAGACTACATGCCTACCATGGAATCGGTTCCGCATGTTCCGGTTTATGGTTTGATATGGTAAAATGTATTATCTCTAATAACCATATCATGCGACATATCAAATTGCATCTCCTCAATGAAATATGACCAATGGCACTCAAAATAATAACCATAGAGCCATCTGGCGACCGCAGCACCGGTTCCGGATATTCCGGATTATGGTTCCATGTGGTCAAATTTGATATCTCTCATAACCATATCAAGTGACATATCAAATCACATCTACTTGACACAATATGACCAATGACATTCAAAACATCAATCATAGAGCATTTTGGCCACTGTATAACCGGTTCTGGATATTCCGAATTACACTGATAGGCAAAATAAAGTGCCCACCCCATCATTTTTTGAATTTCTCTCATTTATTTGGTTCAAATTAAAGTAAATACACTGTAGTATTTTTTATATCTTATTCTTTATATTCTTTTTAAGTTTCACTTATAGAATACCAGATAAAAAGAAGAGACTGACTCGAAGAAAAAAAAATCAAAATGGGTGTAAAAAAGAACAGTGACAAAAAAAAGTGCCCACTGCATTTTAACTCCAGAAAACATAAAATAAAGTAAAAGAATACCAGCCTAATAGTTAATGTGTCCTCCTTTGGCCTTCAGGACCAGCTGCAGGCGCTTCGGCATGCTCTCCACTAGATTCTTCAGGTGCTGTGGATCTAGTTCTTCCCAGGCGCGCTCCAGGGCTTCAAAATAGTTATTTTTATTGGTAACACCAGTTTTGTCAACCCTGGCATCGAGAATCGCCCACAAATTCTCGATGGGGTTGAGGTCCGGGCTTTGTGGAGGCCATTCCAGTGGTTTAATTCGACATGACCGGAAGAAAGACTTAGTCTTCTTGGCAGTATGCTTCGGATCGTTGTCCTGCTGGAATACGAATTTCTCCTCAAGGCCCGTCTGGATCAGCGAAACTTCCAGATTTTCCCGCAGGATGTCGATGTAGGAATCTGCCGTCATTATCCCGTCGATTTTCACCAGGCTTCCCACTCCACCCCACGAAAAGCACCCCCAGACCATCACATTTCCTCCTCCATGCTTCACCGTGCCTTGTATGTGGCGCTCCTGAAGCTCCTCACCCGATCTACACCACACACGAACCCGTCGCTTCCGGTTGAACAGTTCGAATTTTGATTCGTCCGTCCAGAGAACCGTTTTCCAGAACTCTAGGGGCTTATCAGCATGCTCCTTAGCAAACTTAAGCCGTTTGACTTTGTTTGCCTTGCTGATAAATGGGCGCTTCCGAGCAACTTTGCTGTTCAACCCCTGTGCTACGAGACGGCGACGAACAGTTCGACTGGAAACTGTTAGCTGAAGAGCCTCCTGGATCTCGCGGACAGTTACCTTCGGGTTCTTCTTCACTTCACGCATGATCTTGGTGTCCGTTCTCGCATCCGTTTTGCGCATCCTGCCTCTGCCAGGGCGATCCACCACTGATCCGAACGATTTCATTTTCTGCAGAATTTTCCCGACCGCTGTTTTGCTGATATTGTACTTCCTAGCGACAGACCGGTGCGATTCACCGTTTTGCACATCACGAACAACCAATTTTCGGATACACACGGGAATTGCTTTCGAAATCACTACGTCCTCCATTTTTTTCAACTGATTCAAATGCGATCACGTGTACAAATGCACCAGTTCCACCCGTTTGCTTCAATACATGTCAAACTTTCAAAACAAAAACAATCGAGGGGTTTTCCGATGGAAACTTATCGAAAACATACCGATTTTTGAAGTGGGCACTTTTTTTTGTCACTGTTTTCTTTTTCAATCCAAATTGATTTTCTTTTACTTCAAGTAAAACTTTATATTTTCAGTATTCCATAGGTGTAACTTTAAAAGAATAATAAAGGTAAGACATCGAAACAGACTACGGTGTGTTTATTTGAATTTGAACCAAATAAATGAGAGAAATTTCAAAAATGATGGGGTGGGCACTTTATTTTGCCTATCAGTGTATGATACCTTATGGTCATATTTGATATGACTCATAACCATATCAAGCGATATATTGAATCACATCTACTCGACGAAATATGACCAATGCCACTCAATATGGCGACCGTAAAATCGGTTCAGGATATTCTGGATTATGGTTCCATGTGGTCAAATTCGATATCTCTCATAACCATATCAAGCGACATATCAAATCACATCTACTCGACGAAATATGATCAATGGCTCACAAAACGACATCCTTAGAGCCATATGGCTGTTCTATGGTTCTGTTCTGTAGAACTGGTTCCGGAATTCTGGATCATGGTTCCACATGATCAAACCATCTCTCATAGCCACTTTAGACGCTACTCGACGAAATATGACCAATGATACTCAAAACAACAGAGATCATGGTCACCGTAGAACCAGTGCTAGATAATCTGGATCATGGTTTCACATGATCAAATTTGATATATCTCATAACCATATCAAGCGACATATTAAATCACATCTACTCAGCGAAATATGACCAATGTTACTCATAACGACAAGCGTAAAGAAATATGGGCACCTTCCGGTTCCGGATATTCTTGATTATTTATTTATTTATTTATTTGCTCTTCGTCTCGAATGTATAAAAGCTCCACAGACTGACTGAGGAACTCTTAACCTAAGTTCCTAATTCTACTACGAAGCTGTCGAGAAGGTGCATAAAAGTTAATATTCTGCAGCAGTGAAGGGCAATCCAGGTTACCCTTGACAAGATCGAATTCTGAAGTTTAGTGCGTTTGTGAGCTAGAGTTTCCATGTCTATAAGTCTGCATCGGCTTGTATAGTCGGGAAGATTTACTGGATGATTCCACGGAAGTTGTCAAAGAGCATACCGTATAAAGCTACGTTGAACCCTTTCCATTCTAATGATCTGCTCTGCGTCATTTGGCGACCATACACTAACAGCATATTCCATGATGCTGCGAA